AACTTTCTAAGAACTTAAGTGCTGGGGAACAAAAGAAAATCCATACACTTAAAAGACCAAATACCTTTTCCCCATGTTTTAAGAGGAAGTAGATGAAATAAAACCTCTGATTTCATGTGGTATAGGGCATTCATACCACAAGAGGGCACTAAAACCATACTTAAAGCAGAACATTTAAGCTACTGCTGTATACATTACAGAACTAAGTCATAAAGTAAGGAAGTATGCATTGCTTTCACAAACATACACACTCACTACATAAAAGCATTCATATATCTCAATGGCATGCACATACGTTTGTAATGTACTCACACTGCCTCTACTTCCAACAGAGCAGCACAAAGCTTTTTGTACAAGCACTATCCTGTCAAGTAATGAAAGACAGCGAGACTAAAGAAACTTGAAGCTTTAAACAAGTTGTGCTTCATGTTTTGAATCCATCAGTCTATTAATAAAGTTTAAGATTTTGAATTTTGATCTTGTCTAAAAGAATGTGAAGGGCATGAGCTCATAATGAAATGGAACTGCCAGTCAGAGGTAGATGCTTACAGTCATATAAAAATATTTTGGGTACAAATGACTTCTGCTTGTCCAAGCAGCAATTCTGTTTACACACATAAGGAAAAGTCCTATGCAACAGCAATTAACAAATCTGCACGTTTCAACAGCCAGCTGACCTTTGTGCTAAAAATATGCTTCTAGTATATTGTAACCTTTTTTATAAAGCTTGACAACATCTGAACGTTCACATCAGTCAACGAACTGCCACAGGAACAATCCCTTAGACATTAGTTGGATATTCCTCTACAGACCTTACTACATGATGAAAGCTACTTGCAATTTTTTAAGCAAAGGTGCGCAAAACAAATCCTGGCAATGCACCATTTTAATATCAGACAAAAATAATGCTGCCTTTCTCTACTGGTTTAATGAGCAGCATAAAGCCAAAGTATCTCATTTCTACAGCTCTAAGAGTTCACTATGTTTATCACATTAAGTTTTTTTATGCTTGTTACGCAAGTCTCTTGGTCCTGTTATTTGTTTGTCAGATATGGCTGCTTAGATATCTGTCAATCAACAAAGCTTCTGCTACTTAACATGCTTCAGGAATTGACGACAGTGATGTGATCATTGTTGATCATTTTCTCAGTTAATTTGGGAGTAAGGTAGTATGTGGGCTGTTGGTCCAAGTAATGGAGGCATATGTGGTGCTGCAGCACTGCTACTGTATAGAATCCATGTTAGTTGCAACTAACTGAACTCCTGTAGTTGCCCAAAATACATGTCATACGTGATATAGTTGTACCAGATTTTGGACACTTCACACACCCCCTCCATAAGAAAAAAACCAAAACAAACCAAAAGCTACCAAAAACCTTTGCAGATTTAGAAATTTTACAATGAATAAACCCATTTATATACACTTCAATATAAGAGGCAGAAGTTAAATAGGTCCTCTTCTCACATGCATGAAGTGAGTTTGGTTTGAAATATAAACTTCTATCTAAGGTAAGTTAGAAAAACTTAAGAACTAAGGTAAGTTAGAAAAAAAAAAAGTATCAGGCAGCAGTACAGACAGGAGCATATAAGCAAGCATCCAACAAGTCAGCATTAGTGTATCACACTTCCCAAGTCCTGTGCTAACAGCAAATGTCCCAACATGCTTGAGAAAATTCCAATTTCACCTACTTGAAATATACACCAGGCACATTCTGTAATCAAAAATCAGAGTTTTGATCCCATATTCCATCCCATGCTAGCATATAACTCCCACTGACCATTTGCTGGATTCTGCCGATGGCTCACGGCAGCAGAGCAAGGGACTTCGTGTCTCGCTAGTTAGTTCAGTTCTCGTGAATAGAGGCTTTTGACAGGCGAAGCAAAAACACAGCTATCACATGGGCCTACAACCCAAAGCACAGGCAGCCCTACTGCTGTTAATTTCAAAAATACTGAATAAATGCTTATCAAAACAAGATATTAAACCAGAGACAACATTTGACATTCCAATTTCTTGGTAAGTTTTTCAGCATAACATATCCATCTCAAAGGAGATGGATATAAATAGTTATGGTTATGATGCGCCATCAAGTGCGTAGTAACAAGACGACAAACCAAATTCAGTATCAGATGTCCCCAAGCAGCAACACATGATATGAAAGGCTGTGAAAATCTGCTGAAGTAACAATCCAGTGATACTGGGATTGTCAAGCATACATTTAATCCATCAATTTACAAGTGTGCTGCATTAGCTCTATACCTAAAGTCCCATTCAGAAAGGCGTGCGAAAGTAGTGTTCAGTTTCCATCTTGTCATCAAAATGTGCCTTCCAGTCTATCACGAAGCCAAACAAGAGCAGATTATGTTGCTTTATGAATCTTTAAGTCTACATGATATTAACATTTTGACAAATGCTGTAAGTGCAACAGGTAACGTTAAATATTAGCATCTAAATACAGTTCGCATTTTTTAGGTTCTATGTAGTGGTTGAGTAATTGTATACACTATTGCATTACATACGTTAGGTCAAAATTCAAACTTACAATCTCTTTTCAATTGTTTTCTTTGGACTGAAGGATGAACAGAAGACTCCCAAAATTTCAGGACACTTGTAAGTGCGAAGTGTGATTTCTGGGCACGCATTCTTGAAATAATTCTGGTTTTGGAGACTTAACCTCACTTTCATACAGCCTGTTAAGGTTCCAGTCAGTTGACGTTTACAGTGGGGAAAAAGTATTTCCCCAAACCTTATGAAAATAAGATAGGCAAATCTACCTTTCCATTTTTGAATTCTGAGTTTTAACTTAAACCACAAATCATCAAGGTTGAATTAACCAGTAGGTTTATTTTACGCTCTGCACAAGAATGTACAAGGAACATTTACACTATTTCTCAGGTTCATACTTTCAGGTTTCTTGCATTCAGACAAAAGATGACCTAAAGGGTATTATAAATAGAAATGAAAAAGAAAGAATTATTAAGACAGAAAGAGTCGCAGAAAAAGGCAAAAATATAAATATAGACTAAAATACTTAAATACTGGAATACTGAAATGTAATGAGCAAATTAACTTGCTAAGACATATTCAGTGCTCTCTTGATTCAGCAACTTCAAAGATTCCTTAACAAACAAAACCAACTTAAATGTACCAGGTGAATATATCCATGGTCACTTTGCTAACCTGTAGCCAAGCTAGCAAAAAAAGAAAGATAACACTTCTCATAAGCACTTTTGATATGGGTTTCTCCTCACATTTAAGAAACACAAACTTCCTAAACAGCATATGTAATAATAGTTGACCTCAAAATGAACACCCTGGATCAGGAATCAATGCAACCATCAGCCAAGAATTAGCCAAACTAGAGGTGTATATTTAAGTATTACGACAAGTTTAAGGAAGAAAAGCAAACAAAAGAAAAGAAAGATGTAAAATATCACTTTGTGACTTCAAATACAGTCATTGCTCCTTACCATCTCAGCTCTGTGAATATACTTTTAAATTACTTTCTGCTTAATTTCAAAATAGAGTGGCTGTCATTAAGGTTTGACTGGAACAACTTTAACCTTGTGAGCTACAGACATTTTTAAAGAAGATCTTAATAAAAAGTAAACATTGATTTTTATCCCCCCCCAGTGAAAGTGTCTCTTGTGATGAAATATGCAAGTCTCACTACTGCTTACCGTATCTGTAGGGATTTTTAAGAGAAAAGCAATCTGATGTTAAGAGATTCAATGAAAGGCGCTAGCGTAAGAGTTGACATTACGGAAGTCAGTAAGAGACCCATCAGTTGGGCCATAATACCCCTTACTATTCTGCATTTATCCAAACAGCATTAATTTCTCTGCACAACCGATGTGCTGTCAATCAGAGCAAAAATGCATAAGGCCATAAAAGATAGTATTATTCTAATGGCCTAGTGCTGGAATTTCACCTACAATGGCATCATCCATACTGTACCAGGAGACATGATGGCCTCTAGTCTATGTTTAGACAGCATAATTCCAGATGCTAAATCAGAGGTTTCTCCATGTCTCTCCACTGGAGAGGGAATTAAAAAAAATAATTCAGAAAAAGTCCTAGCAACACTAAAAATCAAAACCACTTCTCTCGTGAGATTTTTGATGGAAAGATACCTTAGTATCAATTTGAGAGAAAGGATTACAAAATATATTCATAAAGGTTCTTCAAGATTGCTCATGAGCAGCGTATTAGCCATATGCATGTACAGATAAAATACTTTAAATATTCCAATGGGATTCACTGAAATGAAAGAATCCATCTCCAAAAGCTATTTCTGGGTTTTTTCTCTCTCTTTTTTTTTTTTTTTTAATGCAAGTAGTCACTAAGGACAAAGCATTCTATCTCCATTTTTTAAAATACTTTTTGGGGAGAGATTGGGTTCATTCTTCTCACAATTTTTGGCGGGTTAAGAGCAGTGACCACAGACCCGTATAAACAAAATAATGTTGACACAATATAGTCTATTCTGTAAAGACTGAACACTAGAAAATCACTTCCAAAGTACTTAACACACTGAAAGGATATGAATTAAAACTAAACTGCTCTTCACCAAATTCTTCAGCTTTCAGAAAACATATGCATATCTGACTGTAAAATTTGAAGGGATGTACAAAGGGGCTTTTGAGTAGCCTAGCAGTAGTAGCTGTGCACTTCCACAAATACTGAATCCAGCATTCCTCATTTACCAATAAGAGATCTGTGAGGCTGTTAAAGTATTTCTGACACACTCAGGAAGTAATTTGCACTCAGTGGCAGCCCTCTGGATATTTCAGAAGTCATGCTCAAGCACTTCTTAATGGACTGTAACTTTTCCATCAAAAGCAGTGCCTCAACCTTGGAACTTACAGGGAGAAAGCACTATAAAGCAAAAGGGAGGATCCTTGGAAAAAGAAAAGTAGTCATGAATTTCAGGTGCAATACCCAAGGCAAATAGACACTATTTCATCGCTTGTGGTCCATCTTTCAGCAAGTTGCTTACCACTGCACACAGAAGAGGTGATGTTGTACAGAAAAGGATAAAACTGCAAACAGCGGATCATCTTCAGGCTGCTTTCACACTCCAAGCACTTGGTCGTCAAATCCAGTGCATGCCTGAAGGCTTGCAGGGCCCCACTAATGTTGTTCAGAGCCAGATACGCGTTTCCTAGGCTCAAAAACGTCAGGGGCTGCAAAGAGAAAAGCAACATATCCCAGCATAAGTACGTTCACTGTTTAAAATTGAAGCCAACTAGGAAAATCCTCTGTCAATTCACACTCTCCCAAATTTGACTGGAAAGAATTTAGAAAACTTCTGAAATAGGGACTGCCTGTTCTTAGGATGGAGAACTAACAGCTTGATGCACTGGTGCTAAACGAAAGCTGTTTCGACATAAGGTTGTGTTCAGGATTCCATCTTCCTGCGATGAAAAACAGCTGTCAAATACACACAAACTGAAATAAAGCATTAAATACTTATTTACAACCCATCATAAACATTATGTTTACTGCACAGAGTAGCAAAGAACTAAATTGAAATGCTTGAAGACATTTTAGAATGATTAAAAGTCAGCAAAACTGTAAAAATATTATTAGAGATCTAGCAGGACAGACGTATTTTATTTGTCAAGAGTGTTCAGGATTTACTCGAGCAGAATGAGGTTACTGAAAACACCAGTGTCATACTAGCTATGGGGGTACACATTTATGTTTAGTTTACATTCTTTATAAAACTTAATATTTTTGTCCACTGCTTTTGGCTAGTGTCTCTAAAATATATATTTCCTTTTTTTTAAAGTAGAAATTATAAACACCCTTTTCACTGATTACAACCTAATTTGTACTTTAATACAGGCACATAGTAAAGCATTACATTTTGTTTGTTGACTGAAAAGTCTTTCACTTACACAAAGTAATTTATAGCAATTAACAGTATAATACTAGCATAATGACTGTAATATTGTAACTTTTGTCCACTGAAATAATTTTACATTTATTATTTGAAAACGTGGCAACCGATCAGTAGCTTTAGATTTTTCAATCTCATCTTGGCTTGAATTATTAAACACCATTCAGAAAAAGGTGCAAGCTGAGCAATAGGATTTTTTTTTTTTTAAAGCTTTTGCTAATATAGCACATCCTTCACTCCCTGTAGCTGTAATTAATTTTAATTTGTATTTACTTTCCATTATATTCCAGGAAATACTATTTGAGTACAAGTTCTCCTGCCAGATTTTTGATACAATAGGTACTACAGGATTGAGAATGCCTGAAAAAAACAAACAAAACAAAACAAAGAAGCAGGCATTATTGTAATGAGGTAGGACTTGCCAATATTTTTGAAGAAAAGCGCTACTTACACACCATGGTCCTAAGAATCCCTAGGCTCCTCCTCTCTGAGGCTGTGCTTTCAAGCATTCTTAAGGCAAGCCATTCAAGCATAGTTCGTCTAGTTCCTTTTTGCACTATTACCTGCCACCCAAATGGGCTGGACTTATTTCCAACAATTACAAAATTGTTCCTGGATGCTACACTGAAAAAGCTTATTCTGGTTTTAGCTTTTTTACGTGCTAGATGACTGGTGGCCCGGTAGGTTTAAGCTCTCTGTTTAACTACAGAGGCAGAAGCACAGGAAAAATGTCACTTGAACTTCTGACTGAAGCTGAATGTAAGACCACATTTAATTGCTAGAAAAAAGGTATCCCCCACCATGCCTCCACCACCCCTGCTTCCTCTTTATAATCATTCCAGCCAGTCCAGTAGTTTAAACAGTTTATACAGCAACTTTTTACGTGACATAGGTGACAACCTACGAAGTGCTTATAATGTTACCATTCAGAAATACAAAAACCTGTTTCCAATCTACGGTTGGAAGCAAAGTCATCAGAACAACTAGAACATAGTTTTTCCTCTAGGTATACAGATGAAATCTAGGGACAAATAAAACAGTATAGATAAGAAGAGGCACAGTCAAAGATCTTGGTGACATATGCGTTACTTTAAGGGTTTAAAAAAAAATAAATCAAGATACAATGCTGACAGCATTGTGGATCTCTGTTATAGATTAAAATGTTGCCAAAACACAAGGATTAGATTCCTTGGAGCCACTGCTAATAATACAGGTTTTGGAAGGCAAAAAGCCTATCATCTATTTTAGAAGAACTTCTGCTCTAGATGTTTATGTTGTCAGCAACCAACATCACCCCCACTGTGATCAAGAATTTAAATGAAAATTAACATCTGTTGCAAATCGCAAGCTGCAAGCTAAAATGCATGCACAGGCAAGCACAAGTAAGTAACATGCATTTAGAAAATAACAAAGGAGAAGACATTCACTGCTTAACAAACACATCATCATCTTACCTCAGAGGCAT